CAACTTGACTGAGTCCCACCTGGTGAGATAAATGAGTTAATTTCCATTTCCTGACTTGTGCAAGCCATATTACATGTGAAAGCTCTGTGTTAACTCAGAGACACTGAACAAATCTGCTTCTTTATTATGTAGATCTCTGATTAAGCAAAGCTTTCAGTGAGCAGTGCACACAGTCTCTGCTCCCTTCCCCCTTTTCTTTATTAGAGAAGTGTGGGAGCCAGTGAGCAACAGTGAGGACCTTAGACGCACTGACATGCAGATCCCTGCACCACACGTTCTCAAAGCTGCAGTTAGCTTCACTTGGTTTCAGACTGAGAGGAGCAAATCGAACTTTCTTCCCAGGACTTCACAGCCTTGCTCACCTTTTAAGGTGTATACAGCAGTTCCCCCTCGCTTTTCGTTTCGCAGTTTCAGTTATGCTTGGCCCATTGGGCTCAGGGTCAGGAAGCAGATGATCCTCCTTCTGACATAAGGTCAAAAATGTCAGTAGTGGCCCAACACCACACTATGATGCCCTTGACATTCACCTCACTTCATTTCATCATGTAGGCATTTTATCATCTCACATCATCCCAAGAAAAGTGAATGTAGTGCAGTAAGATATTTCAAAAGAGAGACAACCTTCATATAACTTTTGTTATAGTATACTGTGATAATTGTTCTATGTTATCACTAGTTATTGTTGTTAATCTCTAACTATGCCTAATTTATAAATTAAACTTTTTCATTGGTATGTATGTATAGGAAAAAACAGTATGTGTGGAGTTTGGTGCTCTCTGCGTTCTCAGGCACCGACTGAGAGGTCTCGGAACACATTCCCTGTGGATGAGCAGAGTACCACTGCACATGAAACTGGGGAGAATGGATGAAAATCAAATTCACATCATTAGTTTTCCACAAGGGCCAGAAGAGACCAGGTCATTTAAGCTTTCACAAGTGAAACCCTGTTTTCACCTGAACAGAAGAAAGAACGGGTCAAGTGCCTTTTATGAAGCTGTTCACATCTACTCAAGGTCAGGACCTGTCACTGACAAAATGCAAAGCTCATCCAAGCACAATTCAAAGCCACTTTTGTATAAAGGCTTACATCACTAGGATGAATTTTTAGATGCCCAGCAATTCCTTCTCATGGCCTAAGTAAAAGGGAGAGGTAATAGGTTGGTAGTTTGCTTTGCCAACATTACCTTCAGAATGTAAATTAACCTCTTAAAATGTAGATATTAGGAAGTGCATATTCTTTTTAAAAATTTTAACCCTCCCCTCACATGTAGTCTGTGTGACATTGGGCAAGTCACTTAGCCTTTCTGTGCTTATCTGTAAAGTGAAGGTAATAATTGTACTCACATCACGGAGTTGTGAGGATTAAATGAAATAGTAATGTAAAGTGTTTGGAACAGTTCCTGGTACATCATTAGTGATTTTTCAGTTGTCTTTCTTATTAAGCACTAATTCTAAAATCAAACATAGAAGAATGTAATAGTGCAGAGTTCTGTGCTGGGGCTCATACAGGTGGGTATGGGATAGAAAAATCTAACTGGCCAGATCTCATTTAGGTGGGAAGACCATCAATGGCCATTCCTGCCCTTTCTCATCTGACTCCCTCTGTGCATGCTGATAGAACCAGACTGTCCAGTAGGGCTACATGGTTGGTCATGGCAGGTCCTTCCTGTTTGCTCATCTGTGAAGTGAGAATAATAATTTCTGTCCTGTCTACCCCATTTTGTTGTAAGAGAGTCATTGACAGTGTATATCAAAGTCCTTTACAAATGGGCCCTCAGTTACCTAACTTGGAGTTTATTATGTAGCTCTTCTATATCATTTTACCAGGAGGGACTAGAAATTCACAATGTGAAAATAGGTCATCTTTTTATAAAAATCTGTTTCTGACTGGAACTTTTACCTATTTACTACTTTAGGTAAAATGGTTAGATAAGTCACGGGGTCTGGAGCAAGGTGGACCCTTCGTGGTGACCTCAGTGTATTAGAAAATATAGTAATACAGCCATGTCCAAACCTGTGTCCCTGGAACATTAAATACAGGAAGTGACTTGCTGGAGAGTCCCTGGCCACAGTCCAATCTCCAGGATGCCTGTCACCTCTGTGGCTTCTTTGTATGCTCTGTGGAGAAGGACACATCTCTGGATGACTTCCCTGCCCTGTGTGGGCAGGCCACCAGGGCTCCTTTACACGGAGGGGCCCTCTGGGGAAACAGGTCATGTGTGCCCTTTCCTTCAGCTCCTGCATCCTGTCGAGGGGCAACAGCTGTCCACACAAAAGCACTCCTCTACCAGAATAGCCTGTATGCCTCACCAGGCAAAAGAGCCAGACAGGCATTTTCCTGTCTGGAAGCTGGGCTCCCTCTACATAGCCAGTGGCAGCAGCGAAATCAGAAACACAGTAACTTCTGAGGGAGTTTTCAGGCTGGTTCATCCAATATGGAAGAAGACAAAAAAAACTGGCATGGAGATTTTATCAGAGTCCTTTGGTGGCCACTGTACAGTCACTCTACTTCTTCTGCTTAAGCCACCAAGAAGTCCTGGAAGGAAATGCATTCTGCAGTCTCTTTTTGGAGCTGGGAACTTTTAGAGATCTGATAGGTCCTTGAGAGTGTGGAATGACACTTGGCTGCCAAAATCACAGTGAGTTCAAAGGCAGCAGGTTCTGGCTCACCACACAGCAGCTCCTTTCCACGTGGGGGTTCATTAAAGGAGAGAGTGACTGTCTTTGTGTCCCTCTTTTCCCCCCAGATGCTTTGAACTAATGTTTTATATTAGTTCTTATGCCTTTGCATGAGACAACTGTTTTTCTCAGAACACAATTTGGAGGTTAGTCAGATTTTCCAAAACTTGGGGTGGAAATCATGGTACTGTATTATATTCCCATGGATTCTTATTTCCTTTTTATTTCACTTTCTTTAGAATAATCCTTTGAAGTCAATAGGTGCTCCTTTAAGCTCTGCTTCACTAATACTATTAAGAAATGTTACGCTGACAATGTCAGTCCTGCCTCAGATTAAATTATAGTGACAATGGTGTCCTACGTCCTGTGATCTGCAATATGGCTGGGTTTCCACTAGAATATGAAAAAAGCATTTCATTGCTAACATAAAAGAAAAGATCCTCTTTACTTTCTCTTCATCTCTGATATTTTAAAGTTTCCAAGTGTGTTTTGAATTGAAGATTTCTAGCCAATCATTACTGTCAAGAGGAGACAAGCTGTAAAGGAAAACATTCAGACTTATTTCAGTATGTTTTTTTGGGCTAATGTGAAATCTTACTATGAGCAAAGCATTTTGCCAGGGCATTAAAACTCTGAGAGATGTAAATTTTGTGCCCATTTTAGAGATGAGGAAACCGAGACCTAATGATAGAATGACTTAGGACACCATCACTCAGCTAATAGTTAACAGGTAGAACTTTCTGATTCCCAGAGCTCCCGTTCTTAATTACTTTACTGTATCTTTGTCCTTTCCTACCACAAATTCTTCATCAAATTGTTGTCTGAATTGCCATCCTCTGGCCATACAGTGTACTAATATTTGTTTATATGATGATCTACAAGCTCCTACCTAAATTTCATCTATCCTTCAAAGATGTATAAGTTGGTCTGTGGGTCACGGAAAATCCAGCCAACACCAGCAAAGAGAACAACAGTTAAAGACAGAATCCAGTAGCACGTTGCCTGGGTCAAAGTGCAACTTCTCCACTTCCTAGCTGAGTATCTTAGTGAATTATTCCAGCTTTCCATGCCTCAACTTCCGCATCTAAAAATTGGGATAATGATGGTATTCACTTTTTTAAGTTCTTATCAAGATTAACTATGAATTCAAGTAAATCACTTGGAAAGTGCTCACAAACAACCATTCAATAGTTTCTCATATGGAGGTAGGTGGCCCAAGTGGTGCAACCACATTATCATGCATCAGAGAACCAGGGGCCTCCTGTCTTACTGCTCTTTCTCACCCTTGAAGAACCTAAGTGCCTCCTGCATTCCAGGCAGAAAAAAAGAAGAAAGGTAAGGGGCAAAATTTCTTCTTTTTGTGGGCTTTTGGCTTGGACTTTTTCTAACAGGTCATCAGCAAAAATGGTGTCATATGGCCAGGCCTCGCATCTGTAGTAGCTGAGAATTTTAGCCATATTTCTCCAGCCTCTCTAGTGGAGGAGAGCAGGAGAGAATGTGGTTGGGAATAGTTGCTAAGTGAACTGACCATGAGTGCCACCCAGAAGACACAGCTTATGTCCCACCTGCTTGTCTTCCTTAATTACTAACTTAAAGGATGTGATGTATGCTATTCCTTTGGGATAATGTATGGTTCTCTCTGCCTGGGAACCATACTTTTGCATGGGTGGATTTTTCTTATTCAAGTTGCAGTTAATGCCTTCTCCTTGGAAAAGGATTATCCAACCACTTCAATGAATACAGGTCTCTCTTTAAAATAAATTTTATTAAGGCACATATGAGAAAATGCACAAATCTTAGTGTATATAGCTCGGTGAATTTTGATAGGCACCTACACTCATGTAACCATCACCCAGATCAAAATATCAAACATTCTCAGTAATTTTCTCCCTTCACCTATGTCACCCATTCCCCACCCCTACAGGGGTTCCCCTCTTAGCCTGTTTTTCAGAACTCTGTTTATTTCCTTCATAATGCTTAATTCAATTGGTGAGGTGAGAGGGAAAATATTGTTTTTATATTCCCAATAAGCAGGGTTGTCTCCCTGCCCTTGGCACACCACTGTGTCCTACTAAGAGGACAGAAACATGTCACCTCAACAAGGAGAAAGATAGCCCTTGTCAAAGTGAACAGGAGATGGAGAACACCCCCTTCCTGCCACAGTGAAACACTGGGAGAGAAAAGGAAAGGAAAGCAGAGCTAAGGGGCAGACATAAAGGCAGAGGTGCCCAAGAGTATTGGCGTCAGTGGCCCAATTTCAGAGAATAATCTAAGGTGGCATGTCTCTCATAGAAATCCCAAGTTTAACAGGACACTAATCCAACCAGCTTCCTCATAATCACTCAGTAGCTGCACAGGAAAGTAGTTAGGTTTTATAGAATGAATCAATGAATCACTTTGAATGATATTATTTTGACAGGTTGTGAGCATCCCATATTTTGGTGGGATTTGAGATCTTGACCTCACTACAATACAGCTACAATGTGATGTTTTGTTCCCTCACAAGACGATGGCTTCTTCAGGTCAGAGATTGCCTTTCTCTTTTTTGCATCTCCTTTGGGGCCTCCTATGGAGGTACTCCATGAGTATCTGAAGATTTATTAAATAAGGGGCTGAAAATAAAAATGACAGAATTAGGAAGAAAAAAAGGATTAGAAGTCCCAAGGTTACCTGTATTTTTCTTCAGAATGGACCTCATAGCTCAGCAGAAAAGAGAGATATTAATAGATGGTAATGACAGACACTGTCTGCTCACTTCTGGGTTTCAGTGCTACTTTAATATAAAAGAACAGCCATGAAGATAATAAGATTCCCAGAAGACAGCTAAGAAGATCTGTAGTTAACCTTAAGAAATAAGACTTTGTGCTTAGATAATGACTTGTGTCATAGACATCCTTACAGGGAATCTAATTTGATGTCTTGAAATCTTGATTAAATTTCTAGGTTTCATTCTGTTTGCCTCACCATAGATTTACCTGGAATTATTTTAACTGTTTGGTAGAAATTGGGATCTTTTATTCCTGCATAAAATTCTCATTTTTGTCACATTATGTAGACATTCTATCAGCTTCCAGAATCAGCTCTAGTGCTCCTTGTTCCCTTTATCCTCTGTTCCTTCAATAGCTCCATTAGGCCACGTTGTGCACAAGCACCGCAGTTCCAGTTCCCCCTCTTGCTGACAGGATGACCTCTGGGCACAGGAACCTCTGTGATCCTCAGTTTCCACTTAGGTAAAAGGACTAACAATACCTGCCCTAACTGACTTATAAAAGAACCAGGAGGATGAAATGAGATCTATGTGAAACATTTTATATAATGTAAAGTGCTATACAGATGAAAATTATTATCTCTTATAAATAGTATCGTAAGCCTGCCTATATTTCATTCTCTTTTTACAAGAGAAGATACTGAGAGCAGAAAGGCTAACAGAGGTAACAGGGCTTTGAGATAACAATGGTATACTGAATCCACACTTTTACCTTTGCCTCCTCCTCCCGAAAGCCCAGAATAATGATAATAAAGGGCAAAAAAAGTAATAAAGGAAAAAATGGAATTAAGCCACAAAAACAACAAATGGGAGAGGTGGCGATGGCAACAAAATTTTGAAAGTAGAAAGGTGGCAAGAACAAGGAGAAGCAAATCCTCAGCTGGCATTTGAGAAACCCAACAGGTACCCAAATCTGCACCCCTAAAGTCCCAAAAGCCTTTAGGAAGTGGGGGACTAAGTAGACTGTGAACAGGAGGATTGATTAAAAGTTCGTTGAAATGTAGTTCACAGCCCCTGGCCAGATCATCCCTCCTCTGCCTAGCCCAGGCCCTGGTCTCATCTGCACTGGCTGGACACTAGAGGGTACTCCGGCGAAGTCAGAAAAGCCAGTTTTTGCACTGCTTGGGGCCATCAGGCAGAAGTGAGGTTGAATACGAGGTTGAAGATGGAGCTTAAGTGGCAGTATAAATAATGAATTTCAAAACACCTCAACCCTTTTCCCCTGACTTGGGTTCCAGAACATTGACAACCAGGCCTTTACCCTTCAGACAGAAGAGGGGAAGATTCTTCTCTGAGGCATCTCACCAGCCCAAGAGACGAGATGTAGATTCTGACACTGAGGCTCACCAGGTAAACCACCCAGTAGCTACCTATAGTTGACAAGCCTCACCCACACGCTTAAAACATCTCATCAGCTTCAAATGCCCCATTTTTCCCTTTTATCTGTTTAGAGCTCTACTAAGGCATAGTTTACAACTATAAAAATGCCCCACTTTTAAATATGAGTAGAGAACCAGAGACCACCAGGAAGCACAAGAAAATCTCTAATATAGAACACATAAGTAATGAACAGAAAAAACATCAGATATTGGACAGAGGCATGAAAACTTAAAAAAATATCTATCAATAACATTCCTATGGCAGTGAGATAAACCCTGTTTAAAATAAGAACAGGATGTTGTGGAAAAGGAAAATCCACAGAACAAAAATGAAGTATTTGAGATTAAAAATATAATAGAAGAAATTAAAGATTCAATAGAGAGTGGATCAGTTTATTTGGTAAAGTAGAATGAACAAGGAGATGAGATATAGGAAAGAAAATATGAGAAAATCAGATTAGGCTGGGAATATTTATCATCCAGAGAATGACATTCCAAGGGGGAAAGAAAAAAACAATAGGAAAGAAATAATTGGGAAAAAACAAGAAAATTTCCCAAAAATGAAAGACATGGATTTCCAGACTGAAAAGGTCCAGATTGAAAATAGACCCAGACCACAGCACTTAATTGTGAATTTCAGAATAGTAAGACAAAAGATAGAACAAACTACCACTGTGGATAAAGTGAAGGTTCCTAGGGCCAGGATTCTCACCTCGGTCAGGTTGGCTAGCTCACTACACACATGTGGGCAATACATTGTTATTGACTTTATATAAAGAGCTCCGCCCAGTGCTCTGGGTGGCAGGGTGGCATGGCTGCAAGGCTGCAGGAGAGCAGAGACAAGACTGAAGTGCTGGCAGCACTGAGGATAAAGACTGAGATGGCTATGGGGGTAGAGAAGCCCAGAGGCAGAGAGCAGCTTTATGCATGCAGACTCGGTCTAAGTGGACAGGATTCTAGTAATTGACCTGCCACCATGGGAATAAAGTTGGGTATAAACCCTTTCACCCCAAGAATGTTCCATGGTCATTCTTTGGTCTCATTGAATCCATAGTGAACTTGTCCGGGGCTAAAACCCATTGGCAAGATAACCACAAAGGAAAAAATGGCTGCAGAAAACAGATTGTGACGCAGAGTGACTTGGGCTTCTCAATAGGACTCAGAAGACTGGAAAACCATACAGCAAACTTTCAAAATTCTAAAAGAGAATTATTTCATATCAAGAATTGTATTCTCAACCACACTACAATTAAATGTGAAGATGAAATAAAAATGTGTTCAAATATGCAAAGTTTTAGAAGACCCAGAGAAAACTGGATTGAGTCAGGAAGTCCATTGGAGAAGTCTCCAAGGTGAAATAATAGAATACTTCAGTATATTTTTCAGTATACTGGGAGGAGATATAGGTACTTGTAGGTACAGCTTGGAATGAATTGATACCAAAGTAAGATGGTTAGAAAATTAAGCCAGCAAAAGTCAGTTTATTACAAACTCTAAAAATCTGTGAAGGACATAACATGGTGGGGGCAGGGGGCACGGGGAAGGCAGTATAGCGCAGAGAAGACAAGTAGTGACTATATAGCATCTTACTAATGTAGCTCATGTGATTATATATTAATGATACAAAAATTTTTTTAAAAAGCATAATTGGGGGAGAATATAGCACACGAGATTAAAACCTATAACTAATACCTATTATAAAATAACTTTAAGCAATACAATATAGCACTCAACTGAATGGAGTCCAAAAATAGACCAAGAACATATGGTAATATGCTTTTCAATATAGGGAGGAAGACAAAGGTTATTCAATAAATTATATTGGGACAAATAATTTAAAAAAAGAAAGAATCTGTGAAGAAAACGAAATGTGATCATAGGCCACAACATGTCACAGCTGTTGTCTTTTCTGAAGGTTTCAGCTACCGGCAAGCTCACTAGGGGCGTGGTGAGACCAAGAAATGACAATGGAACATCTTGGGGTAAAAGGTGTGGGGAAGTTGGGGTTCCTAGGCCAGGAATCTCACTGAACTTAAACTACCTGATGATGTAACTGGCCTGTTACTAGGCTACCGTTTCCACACCTTTAGGCAATAAGTTATTATTGTGCTATATACAGAGCTCAGCGCAGTGCTGTGGGCGGAGGCAGAGATGCTAGTGCTTAACCTACTGCCAGGAGAACAAGCTGGGTAATAAACCTTTTCACCCCAAAGAACGTTTTGCTGTCAATTTCTTTGGTCACATTGAATCCATAGCAGCCTTGCCTGGGGCTGAAACCTACTGGCAGGACAATTGGTGAACGTCGGAAGGGTTCATTGTTGACCAAGGAAAAAGACAGCCTGCCCTTATGGGTGGGGTGCTTCAGCAGGTCACAGCTGTGAAAGGGGAGACAGTGGAATGTCCCCCAATGGGTGTGTCATCTGAGGCAGATTGCCTCCTAGAGGACTGGGCCTGACCCCAGGACTGGAGCCAAGTGGAGGTAACACCCGAGGCAGTAGGGGTGGCACTTGGTATAGTAATAGGTCTTTTGAGAGACAGAGTGCCCATGGGGCAATGGAGACTGTGGGTTGGCTGCTTCTCACAGTATTAAAAAAGTCTACAGAAGAGAAGGACATGCTCCTGAAAAAGACCCAAGAAATAGCAGCACAAGAACACAAGCTGCAAACTTCTATGTATTACCTGAAGAAGGAAATGGCATTGATGCAAGAGGAAGCAGCACGAGAATGCCAGCAGCAAGGTGCCATTGAAGAGGTAAAAAATTCCTTACAGAATGAGACGGCAGCACTGCCAGGTGCTCTGAAGGAGGAAAAGGCCATCAAGGAAAAAGACAACTCCTGAGGGAAGCACAGGTGGAGGTGGCACAGGAACGTCAGCTGTGAAGCATTCAGGTGAAGGTAAGAGAGCTTCTGAAGACTGAACTAGCATTGCTATGAGGCACAGTAGAAAAGGTAAAGGTTGTAGCAGAGGAGGCATTCAGGGGAGGGGAGTGAAAGGTGCCATCAGCCCCAGAAATGGAGGAGCTGGAGAAGGATGAAGGAGTGGTGCTGGAGGCACTGGCCCCTCCTGTATTGAAAGCACACCCAGTGGTTGTAAAGAAAATAAAGACCCAACAGCTGAAAGTTCCCCTAGGAGAGAAGCAGCACCCTCCCCAGGTCGTGGAGCACTCTATAGTCCGCCCCTATACTCAGGCTGAGCTGCTGGATTTGAGCTCTGAGGCAGAAGCCCTTGGAGCCAATGTCAGCTTGGCTCCTGCATCTATGGCACTTAGGGGTGGATGGAATTGTTCTGTTGTGATCAGAGATGGGAAAGCTGGCTTCCCTGACAGTGGAGCCTGCCTTGAGGTGGCGATTACAAAATGCACATCAGATCCCAGGGAGTCAATCCCTCCTCAATTGGCTTATGGCCGCACTTCATGCTGTGTAGCCCTATAAGGATGGTCTAGCATCCTTTCCTGTTAGATGGCAGATGTATGCTGAGTTCCAACAGGTGTTACAAGAGCTAGGCATAAGAAATGCCATCTATAGTCCAGAGAATTATGGCCCAGATGAAGAGATTTTCACTACTGGGATGAGAAATACTGTGCTTCAAACAGCTCCTAGATCCCTCTTTGGGTCTCTAGTGGCCATTCTTTCCCCTCACTTAGGGCATCCCACAGTGAGGTGACACATATAGTAGCAGACTTAGGAGAGGCTGAAGCAATGAGAACCCAGAAAAAAATTAGATCTGCTACTCACAAGAAGAATTTAAAGGGCCCCATGAAGGTTACAAAGACCCAGATGTGGGTTGATTTAATATGGGCAGGAGCAGATGGAAGGAAATTAGATGGGAAGTCAAATAGGATCTTACTAGAGCGATGGCAACAGCTGAAACCAGAGCAGCAGTACCAGCATTTAAGACCAAAGAGGCAGAGGTCAGAGACAGAGTCACAAGTCTGGCCTGTGTGTTTGCAAGACTTCCTGCTGGAGACAGAGCCAGCCTCATTTGAGCCCACACAGGAAAGTGATTGGGGAACACGGTTTGACTGAGGGGAAGGTCAAGGTATCTGCCCTGAGGGACCAAGGGGGCACTGGAGGCCACATGTTGAAATAGCTATCTATTGATCCCCAGTGAATATACAATGTGTCCTGGCTCTGGTGGACACAGGGACTGAATGTTCACTGATTCATGGTAATGCTGAGTGGTTCCCCAGGACCCCCAGTATCATAGATGGATATGGGGATAAGGCTGTCAGAGTGAAAAAAGCCCAAATCCGTTTGGGAATAGGGCATCTATCCCCGAATGAGTATACTGTGTACATAATCTCCTATCCCTGAGTATATTTTGGGGATTGATACCCTACAAGGTCTATGGTTGCAGACCACTGCAGATCAGTTCAGACTGAGTACGTGTGGTGAAGGCAGTTCTGAGGGGACATGCTAGGCATCCGCCCATAGCTTTGCCTGTGCCTCAGTGGGTGACTAATACCAAACAATACAAACTGCCTGGAGGGCATAAAGAGATTGGAGAAACTCTCCAGGAGCTGGAAAAGGTGGGTATTATAAAGCCACCTTTATAAAGTCCTTTCTGTTCCCCAGTGTGGCCAGTGAAAAAGCCAGATGGCTCCTGGCATATGACTGTGGGTTACAGAGAATTGAATAAGGTCATACCCCCTATGCATGCTGCTGTCCCCTCTATTGCAGGCTTGATGGATACCCTCAAGTGATAGCATACCGATATCCTTCTGACACAGGTAGAGGCCCAATATAGTCTATCTGTCACCTGACGAGGGTGTGGACTAGAAACATACCATTATGTGGTAGATCTTGCTAATGCCTTCTTTTCCATTGACATTGAGCAGGAAAGTCAGGAACAGTTTGCATTCATGTGGGAAGAACGGCAATGGACTTTCACTGTCCTCTCACAGGGATACCTCCACAGCCCCACCATGTGTCATGGACTTGTAGCCCAGGACATAGCTACAGGGAGAAACCGCCAGTGGTACCATTATACTGATGATGTAATGCTCATGTCTGATTCTCTTTCAGATCTAGATGGTGCAGCACTTAGACTGCTGCAGCATTTACAGGAGAAAGGATGGGCTGTGAACAGTACCAAGGCTCAGGGACCTGGTTTGTCTGTCAAATTCTTGGAGGTCGTCTGGTCGGGTAAGACCAAAGTTATACCAGAAACAGTTATAGATAAAGTCCACTGGCTGGTTAGTCACTGACCTCTTCAGGGGCAAGAATTGTGGCAAGACTTATGGGCCTGTGGTCAGACTAAAATAACTACAGTATACCATGTGACAGGTCATTTGCCCCTGGCATCCCCAGGAAATGATGAAGCAGATAAATTGGCCCAAATATGTTTGTTAGAAGGAATGCCTGCATCTGATGTTGTCCAATGGTTACATCAGCATTTGTTGCATGCAGGGCAAAAGATAATGTGGGCTGTAGCCCATTGGTGGGGCTTGTCTTTGGCCTTTGAAGAAGTTAGCATAGCCCAGCAGGAGTGTGCTGTGTGCTCCAAAAGGGACCTACACCGAGTTCCAGAGCAACATAGGACAATAGCTAAGGGGCCTATTGCCCCTCGTCAGGTGACAGATAGACTATATTGGGCCTCTACCTGTGTCAGAAGGATATCGGTATGTTATCACTTGTGTGTACACAGCTACTGGACTTCTGGTTGCTTTTCCTACCCATTGTGCAGACCAGCAGATGATCAAAAGAGGCCAGTAGCATCTCTTTGCTGCCTGTGACTGACCACAGGTAATTGAGAGTGATCAGGGCTCCCATATTACTGGACATACACTGCAAGAATGGATGCGATAGTTGGGAATCAAATGGAAGTTTCATGTGCCATATAATCTACTGCAGCAGGCATGATAGAGAGGCACAATGGCTTATTAAAATCTGGACTAACGTCAGATACCAATAGTCTACGCGGATGGTCAGTCCACTTATGGACGGTGCTACGGCGTTTGAACGAGAGACCCTGAAAGGGAGCCTTGAGCCCAGTAGATGTGTTAACACATATGGCTGCCTCCCCTATACAACTGCAAGTACAAACCAAGGAAGAATCACTGAAGCCGAGGTTTGGCCACCAGAATAATATCTTGCTGCCAGCACCAACTGCACTGAACCCTGGATACTCCATTGAGTGGACATAGCCTTGGACCTTTCAACACATGGACCAATGATGACTGGCTCTCCTGGCACCTTGGGGACAAGGCCTGAAAACTGGCCTCCTGTGTATTCCTGGAATAACAGCAGAGTGACCGCCAAAGGTTACAGTCGTGTATCCTGAACAGCCAGAAGGTAGGAGCATCTTACCAGGGAGTTGTTTTATCATTATGGCCAGTGCATGCACCTCCAGTAGCACTATATATAGACCCTTCAGTAACCCCCCATAGGGAAAGGAGTAAAAGTATGGTATACTAGACCTGGAAGGGACCTCCTTCCTGCTACAGGCCTATCACAGGACCACTCTCTTGCATGCATCCTACCTGATGGACAAGATTTGCCTATGTTGGTGTCACTAAAACATGTGTCTTATTGCCCCTAAAGTCTTTGTGGATTGGGAACTTACCCTGGCTTGAGGATTATTATAATTTTTGTTACCTGTATCAAAATCTTGTTGTATCTTAATTTTTGTTATTATCTCTAAGTTATCCTCTGTTGCTATTGTGGAATCTGGTTACAGTGCTCCAGCTTTCTCGCACAGGTACTTTGCAGAAGATTGAAAGTGTGTAGATTGTAAGGGAAGAATCCTGTAGGGGTGGAATGTGGGAAAGTTGGGGTTCCTATGGCCAGGATCCTCACTGAACTTAAACCACCTGATGATGTAACTGGCCTGTTGCTAGGCTACCACGTCCGCACCTTTAGGCAATAGCTATTATTGCACTATATAGAGAGCTCAGCCCAGTGCTCTGGGCAGAGGCAGCGATGCTAATGCTCCACCTACCACTGGGAGAACAAGCCAGGTAATAAACCCTTTCACCCCAAAAAACGTTTTGCTGTCAGTTTCTTTGGTCACATTGAATCCAGAGTGAACTTGCCCAGGGCTGAAACCTATTAACAAGACAAAGGGTTCATACCCAGGTTTATTCTCCTGGTAGTAGATCAGCACTAGAATCACATTTTCATCCAGCAGTCTACAGGTCCATAATCTACCTTTTTGCCTCTGCTCAGAGCACTGGGCAGAACTCTTTTATATAGTGAGTCAGTCAAGAATAGCTCATTGCCTATGGGTACAGAAGTATTAGTCTGGCAACAGGCTAATTACATCATCAAGTAGTCTACGGTCAGGTGAACATCCTGGCCATAGGAGCTTCCATTTTCCCCACAACTGTGAACAGCCTTTGATTGATATAATAATGTTATCAATAAATATTAATCTGACCAAAACTACCATACAACTGTATTGAGAGGATCGGAGTACAGAAGTGTGGTGTTTCTGCTGTAGGAGGTAGATGGAGTATGGTGGTAGAGGAGAGTATGTTACTTTAAGTAATATCCAGAATTTGATTAATAACTGACAGCTTCTCTGTTTTTAGCTCCTGCTTCTAACCACTTATGGGGGAAAATGGAAGGCAGTGAGAGAGAGAGACAGGTGGGTTATGGACTTGCACAGTGCTAGACCTACCACTGTGAGAATAAAGCCAGGTATAAGCCCTTTTACTGCAAGAACATTCTTCTGTCATTTCTCAGTCTCACTGAATCCATAGTGAACTTGCCGAGGGCTGAAAGCCTCTGGCAAGACACCAGTAAAAGCCAAATGCACAGCCCTAGCCAGTCACACAGGATGCCCTTCTTTTAATTAGCCCACTAC